CTCTCTCTCTCTCTCTCTCTCTCTCTCTCTCTCTCTCTCTCTCTCTCTCTCTCTCTCTCTCTCTCTCTCTCTCTCTCTCTCTCTCTCGCACGCGCGTGCGTGCGCTCGCTCGCTCGCTCTCGCTCTCTCGGCAACGGGCAGCAGCGGCGGGCAGCACGTGCCGCTTTGAAATTGCTCGGGCCTGTGTGAAACCCTAAACCCCAAAAACCTGCAGTGTCTTTTGTCCGTACCTCTATAGGCCCTGTCCGGTGGGGTGAAACGACACTGAAAAATGATCCGATTATTTTTCAAGGGGCGGTCAGGATCCCCCAAAAAACGTCCTGGGCTGCCCCTTCATTTTTTTCGATGTTTGCCCTGGGGGTCTCCATCCAGATGTAAGGACCGGACACCAGACACTGGACATGTTGTTCTGGATGGTCTGGAACCTGGTCCCGATGTCCGGTCGGCTTCCATGCTATATATAGTATATACTATATACAAATCTAAGCTGGCCTTTGTATTCTCAGCTCTTAAATTCTAAAAAACGTGAATGATTATATCCACAGGAGAGGTAAGAAAAACCAGAAGTAAAACGGAAAAAGACAGCGGAATTCAAACATAATGATTGTTGTTCTTCACAAATTTGACAAATTTGTCTCGTGGATCCTCATCAACAAAGCCAATCTTTTTATTTTGACACTCAAACTCTTCATCGAAGACTCAGCGGCGAGGCGTTCGTAAGAGCGGAAGCTCTTCAAAGTTCAACGACAAAAAAAAAAAAAAAAAAACAGCAATCGGGGAAGCTTAACTTATTGGAGAAGTCCCTTGGGACATCCGTTAAAATTTGAACGATACAGAGAAGATTAGCATAAATCGAGAAATGGTCCAAAAAAAAAAGAAAAGAAAAAAAAAAAAAACCTTATCGGAGAAATAGTACAACACTCATTAAGAATCTTAAGATAAGAGACGTCGTCTTCGTGCGTTCATTACACGTCTACAGATTCTACACGTGATCTTTTTTTTTTGTTGTTGTTGTTGTGTAGCAGGTTGTTCTTTTTCTGGAGGATCATCATTTCGTCGAGCCATCGTTTGCAGAGATCATCAACAGTTTACTAAGCGGATCGGAAATCATCGGGGTCTGCACCAATGACGAGCTTCAGGTACTCAATGCCTGAAATTGATTCTTTTTTTTATTTTTTTTATTTTTATTGATTCTCAGATATGGAGACTAACTAAGGCATTGAGGGCATTTTTCTTAACCTCCAGTCTTTTTTTTTTTTTTTTTTTTAATTGATTCTCAGATATGGAGACTAACTAAGGTATTGAGCGCATTTTTTTTAACCGCCATTCTTCTTAAACGTGTGGCTCAAAATATTTTGAAGCTGAGAGAGAGAGAGAGAGAGAGAGAGAGAGAGAGAGAGAGAGAGAGAGAGAGAGAGAGAGAGAGAGAGAGAGAGAGAGAGAGAG